AGAACAGGACAGTGACCTCCTTTCTATTAGGTGAGGGGAGGAGGGAGTAATTTGATATATAAATGACTATTTTGATGATCTCAATAAAATTTTACATTATTTCCCCACAAGGCTAAGCATAATGGGATCACTTCAACACTATCAAAGCATCTACAGATGTCAATTAAGGCTGGGCCAGCGTAGCCACATCTAAAGAGAATGCAATTATCTAGCTAATTGAGGACAAGGAAATAACTAATCTAAATAATTGGACCCAAAAGGATGATATGAATTCTCTAGTTACATAGATAAAGGCCTCCGAATTGGGAGTAGGTTTTTGAAGCTAAGAAGGCCCATGTTAGAATTAATAAATAATTATTAAGCTCCTCCTGCTCTGACTATTGGTATCTAAACAGAAGAACCATTATAGAAACATTCATAAACTGCCCACAAAAATTATGGTCAGAAGGTTGTTTATTACATATCTCTGGGAAAAGCCACAACTAATCAGTTCAAGGAAATTATTATGAGCCAAACACTTCTAAAATTACTCTGATGTAGGCAAAACATGAGTCTGCATTGAAATAGGCTATTGCAGGTATTTGAACCCATTGGAACTTTTAAGGAATTCTTTCTGATTTCCACTACAAAGACATACTGAATCCTCTCAGTGTGATTTGAACAAAGGGCCTGAGGACCTCTTGTACTACATTAGGTTGAAATGCAGAGTTGCTCATTTCTTTGCTTTGTTAGGGGAGAATTCAAGGAAAAACAAGGACATACAGCACCTGACTGCAAAAGTTCCCTACCTTAGAATAAATGTGCCACTTAAAAAACAAGACTACTGCCTGCTGAGTCCTGGTGGCTCACGCCTGTAATTCTAGTTGCTCAGAAGGATCAGATTTGAGGATGGTGGTTCCAACTCAGCCAGGGCAGGAAAGGCCATGACACTCATCCCCAATTAACCACATAAAAACTGGCAGAAAGCTAGTCTTGAGCAAAAATAAACCTCAAGGACAGTGATCAGGCCCTGAGTTCAAGACCCACAACTGAACCCCCTACCCCCAAAAAAGACTGACTTCAGTGTTTCCCAGGAAAAATGTACTATTCCTTACAAAATGAAAAATACAAAAGGACCTCCTACTTTAGTTCTAGGTTAGGGGGGAAAAATCAAGTTCCTATTATGAAAGAGTGATCATATCTAAGCTGGGAGTGTGGTTCAATAGCACAGAGCTTGCCTGGCATGCACAAGGTCTGGGGTTCGGTCCCCAGCACTGCAAAAACAGCAAAAATATCATAATGGGGAGTTCTCATGTAAAGTGTATCATTAAATATCTCCTGAGATCCATGGATGTTCAAGGTGGGTTCTTGTACACATTGCTTTGCCATTATTCTCATCCACTTAACCCTCTCACCTAGACCACCTGCTTATCAACAAGAAGACAATTCTTGATGATTTCCACACAAGAGCAGACCATGTACAAGTTTATAGTTAGAAATCTCCCAGAAGTGAGCCGGGCACCAGTGGCTCACGCCTATAATCCTAGCTATTCAGGAGGCTGAGATCTGAGGATCACCTTTCAAAGCCAGCCAGGGCAGGAAACTCTGTGAGACTCTTATCTCTAATAAACCACTAGAAAACAGGAAGTGGTGCTGTGGCTCAAGCGGTAGAGCACTTGCCTTGAGCTGAAGAGTGTAGGGAAAGCACCTAGGCCCAGAGTTCAAGCCCCATGACCAACCAAAAAAAAAAAAAAAGAAATCTCCCAGAAGTGTAAAGCTACATTGGATTATCAAGGAGCTGATCTGTCTCATTTTCCTCCTAACCTCTGGACTATTGATGCAAACGTGTGGAATTAAATTGCCTCAAATACATTAATATGCATCAATCTGTGTCCTACTAACCAAGGTCACTAGGCAGAAGCCAAGAAAGGCAAGAGAAAAGGAAATAGCTCAGAGCAAAGGAAAACAATGATCTGGGGTTGTCTGGATTACTTAGGGAATAAACTGGGGCTTATTAAAAATGGTAATTTCAAGGTTGGAGACCTTAGAACACTGTTGGGGCATGGAAGTAGATTTGCCATATTTTTTTTCCTCCATAGAAAACTATTTGAGAAAAGCCACTTGGTCTTCAACAGGGCCATAAATTTTTACAATATAGTAATTACAGTTTACAGAGCATTTTTTCTGCTTTATCTAACTTTGAGGTTTTTCATGAGCCCTAGGGAACAGGATATATCTAGCTTTCTCCATGGTACAAAGGAACAAGTTCATAAAAGCAATAAAAAAAAAAAAAGCATAGAAACACAACTGGCATCATATAGAAGGGAAATGTAAGCTTACCTTGCAGGCTTCAAGTTCAGCCTCCTACCAACCAGTTCCCTAAACTTTTCTCGTTTTTCTTTTAAAGGAAAGTATGACTACTGAAAAGTATAAAGTATAAAAAGTGGGACTCCTGGGACAATGCAGAAGCTGTGCCCTGTACATAGCTAGCGGACAATGACATATATTTACTGCATGTCCTATTGCTTCAGTTCAGTGCAAGTTTACAAGCTTGCTCAAGAGTTACTTGGTGCTGCTGTCAGAGCTGAGAGATTGAGTACTTTTGAATTTGGATGGTGGTGTGCTTTTCTTACCCTTCTATCCATCATCCTGATGGATTTCCTTTCTGAAACAAAATTCCTCCCATCAACAGAAAACAACGAAGCGCAAATCTCAAAACCAGCCAGCTGGATACACAAGCAGGGAAATGTTTGAGAATGACTTTGTAAAGCCAAGGGCAGCTCATCTCCAAAGAGATGAGGCAGGAACTCCCAGCACAAAATGATTTCTCTCCCTGTTTTACTGTATGCACTCACTCACTGGCTCCTTTCTAAGCATAAAGTAATTTTAAGCTAGAGAACGCCATGCTCTCACATGGGCTGGCTTTCAGAAAAAAAAAAAAAAGTCATGGGTAAGGCTATGCACTTTCCTTTAGAAAAAAAAATATAATTGTACTCTCTTTGCCTAATAAGAAATGTATTCAAACAACAAAACTCAAAGTCAGCATGGTGGTGCACGTGTGTAATACCAGCACGAAGGAAACTAAGAGGAAGGTCAGGTCTGAGGTCAGTCTAGACTACCCTGCAGGTTTTGAGCCAGCCTGGAGTACATAGTAAATGAAAAAGAAAAAAAAGCCAATCAAGTATATGTAAAGAAAATTGTGTTTTCTTCAGTTATATGGTTCTTAAATGACCATTTCAGAGTTACCCTATCATACCTACTCTTATTCTGATTTTCATTTAGTAATGGCATGCCCACCCACCCAAACCTCAAATCTCATCAAGCAGTTCATTAACAAAATAAATAAATGCACTACAGTCCCTACTTCAAAGGATATTTGTTACAAACCTTTCCTACTGTATTTTTCTTTTGTTGTTGTTTGGTTTTTGTCTTGTTTTGTTTGGATGACAGTACTGAGGCTTGAACTCAGAGTCTGGGTACCCTCTCTAAGCATTTCTGTTCAAGTTTCGCCCTCTACCACTTGACTCATAGCTCTACTTTGGCTTTTTGCTGGCTAATTGGGGGTAAAGGTAGCAGGGATTTTCCTGCCCCATATGAAGAAGAACTGTGATCCTCAGATCTTAGCTTCCTGAGTAGCCAATATAACAGATGTGAGCCACGCTTACTACTTTTGTTTTTTAACTTTATGTGAGTAATTGCTCTTAACTTTTTTTTTCTACTAGCAGAGTAGTAGAGCAGCAGGTTACCCGGAGCCACCATACCTGGTGGTGCAGGGTCACAGTCGAGTGTGGGTGTGGTCTTGACGCTGTTCCAGGTTTCCAAGTAGAGCTTTCTGGCTTCTCTTGGGCCTTTACCTTTACCTCCTTTCCTTTACCTCACACAAGGTAACTGATCTGCCTCTCTGACTGGGCACTACAAAATTCGCTCGTCAGATGTTTAATTCCACAGAGCCAAAGCAACCCATAACATAAACTTTTCCATGCATCACCTGAGTTAACTCCCCATCTTTCAATCCCTTCTCTTGAAATGGAATATCCCACATGTGATCACAGACGACCCCCCCCAAAAAAGGTAATAAAGTTGACCAATTCACTGAGCAGCCTTCCGTACATGGCTCCCACTATTTCTTTTAACACAAATAAGACTTCAGGTCTGCGTTAAAGTAAATGAGTGGCAAGCTCAAGGTTACCAAGTGATTGACAAGAGTTTCCACACCTGTCTGGAAAATACTGCAGCGCCCGCCAGCTACCTGCCTGTGCAAGGTGTGACATCTCACATCTTGAAGGATCCAGGAGCGCTTATCCAAAGGACATTACAATAAGGTCAGCCCATGACTACCCAAAACAAAGCTCCAAGATCTCAGCCCGGGGAGAGGATGGAAGAGCCGGAAAGGGGAACGGGGGGGGGGGGCGGGGGGACGGACACCGGCTGGGTTCGGTAGAAAAGTCGCGGTTTTAGAACAAGTCACTTAACACCCAAACCCGGGCCGGCCCAGGGCCGCCCGGAACTAGACGAAGTGGTTGTAAAGCGAAGTTTCAGGGTGCGTTAGGATGGAAGGGGGTACCCACAGAACTGCCGAGCGCGAAGCTCGGTCACCCCAAAGGGCTGCCGGCGAGCGGGGTGTCCCGCGGGGGGACCCCAGGCGGATGCACTCGGGATCGGGCGTGCGCGCTCCCCGCCTCCACCCCGCGCCAGCCCGCACGCGGCCCCAGCCCGGCCCCAGCTCAGTCCTGACTCGCCCCGCCGCACTTTTCCAGGTGCGGAGTCCCGGC